AACAGTCTGATGCATTTGCGCTCGCGCGCTGCCTCTCGCAACCGCTGCCGGGCAGATTAGTAGAACCGCTCCTCTGCTAATCGCCCTTACCGGACTATAAATTATTTGCGGGAAATGAACTCGCAAAAACTCGCAAAACAGCTTCGCGCCCGGTCCCGCGCGTAGGGACACGGCGATTCGCCTTGAGGTCCCCGCGGAGAGAGAATTCGCCAAAGAAACCGGAGGTACTTTTTAAGTACCTCGTTGCCAAGGCTGACATCTTCTCGGAAGCGAAGTACGTAACGACGACTGGCGAAGCCCGTGGAATTATCACGCGACAGTATCTTATCCTATGCTCGTAAAGATATCAAGATGATTAAAATAATCGGAAACAATATATCCAGTTGACTCGTTCCCACGATTTCGTGTGTTCTCTACGAATAAAATTCTCAACAGTCGCCGGGCTCGCCTAAAGTCCCGGAATTTATCTACTTTTTATTTTATTTTTATGAAAAAGCAAAAACAGAAGAGAATCTTTAGCCAGTCGAGAACTTGACTTATGAATTGAAAGAAGCGCCCGGGGCATCACAAATGCCTCAACTACACGACGTTGTAATTAATTACTTTTTAATGAATTGTGATACAGAGAAAAAGAAATGGAGGCAAAAAGAGAAGTATCTCGAGAATATGATGGGAAATATTTGACACACGAATGTCACTCTCGAAGATTACCTGAATAATGATCGCCGATCGGCGAGTCGGCTGGATTAATTCAGCTCGCAGGACGACACGTCGCGCAATGTCGACGTCGACAAGATTCGCATTCGGGCGCAATGACAGGACGACATTCGGATGCGGTCGCGTCCGGACGGTTAGAGAGTTCAAAGGTCAATGAACCGCGACTGACCACGCGAAACGATCGCACGCACGCACGCACGCACGCACGACGCGGAGGGTTCGAGGAGGAAGAAAAGGGAGATATTGAAAGGCTCGCTTTTTGCCAGCTGATTTACTCATACGAATTGGCGCGCGGAGAGATATTTTCTCCGTGAGATAAAAGATCAAAACAAACGGTGCGTGTATTCGTGACCGAGGTGGAACAGCGAGACGAGGAGGCACAGTCTCTCTTTCTCCCTCTCTTTCGCATTCTCTTTCTCCGATGATGCCGGTGGCTGCGTGGATCCCGCCACAGAAAGAAAGGAAGTTTAAAAAAATAAGAAACGCACGAGCAACAGTCGCGAGCGAGACAGAACGCAGCCACGGGCAATAATTCTCATATTTTAGGGAGGCAATTTCGAAGGCGAGTGCGCACACACGAGAAGAGCGGATTTTCGAGGGCTGTACTTTTCGATAATTTATGCCAACGAGCCTCTCTCGCTCGGCTCGGCTCGGCATTCTGAGAAGCGATTCTCTCTTGCCGCGCCCGGTTCATCCATTCGTGATCGGCGAAACAACCTCAGATTCGGCCACGTGCGTCGCGTATCGCAAGAAACGACACTTTCCTTTATCGGGAATTGCACGTTGAACTCCGTGTGGTGTACCCTAACGAGGCTCACCCACCACCAGGCTACGTTCTAAATAACCCTTCAGATTCTGGGCGCTCTATTTAAGGTAACGCGCATTGGGGCGAATTAGTGTGATATTTAGAAATCTTACTTATTTCTCATGATATTGATTCCCTCATAATGTCGTTCAATTCTAATAATTCAACTTGAATAAATCAAATTATAATCCCCGAGAAACTATATGCTCGCGTGTCGAAAAGTAAAAAAAATAGATCACGTCTATCATCAGTCGAATTTCCGTCGACGTCGGAATCTCCAATATTCCGATTGCCTCGCGTGTCGCCTCGTCCCAGTTTCGGTATGCCCACCCTGTGCGCCCGAGCTTTCGATGAAATAAAGCGAAAGAGGAATAAAACAATGAAACAATTTAACAACAGCGATGCACCGGAGGTGGTGAGAGGAGCGAGTACTTAGTAGGTACAGGCAAGGCAGGTAGTATATGAAAGGATTTAAGTTACGAGAAGCCAAGCACGCCGTAGCTCGGATGCAGATGATCCAAGATTATAGACATTAGGGACATTAACCTTAGCGTTATGCGTTATTCTTCGGCGGCCCCCGGGGTCCCAGGCTGCGCGCATTCGTCGCTCACACACGCGTGCAACAGTGCCGACCGAAATGATCCGGTGGCGTTCTTCCCGCGAGATCGCACCATTGCGATCCTGATACGTAACGCGCGCGCGCAACTTGACGCGAATTCGGGTACACAATTGATTCGCGAACTAACTAATTCGTCCTGGATTATCCCAACGCGCGGGGACACTTCCGACCATTCACCCCCGACTATTCCACTTGACGTGTGACTCCCGAGACTTGCCTCGCGCGTTCCATACTTTCACCCCACACGACGCCCGCGCGTGTAACTTTAAACGGCAATTCGCGAGCCGAGCGGGTCGGCTGCGCTCGCGCCTTCGATCGCGGGATGATAATTGCGCTCTAAACGCGAGGGGAAAAAACCGCGCATCAATTACTACACCGGCCTGGGGAACGTGGTGCGCGCGAGAGGGTAAATCGTCGACGAGGCGAGGTGAGGCGAGGCGAGACGAAGGGACGCGATCGAAAGACGAATGAAACGTCGAAGGCGACGATTACGGGAGTGACTATCCTGTAATCCACCGACGTGGATGGTTTCTTAGATCCTGTCTTGATTGGTAATTGGATCCTGCTTCGGCATAGGTATATACCCGCCGGTGGATGCCGCGGAAGGTCGTTTACCCCTTTCGGCGGAGCGATCTCTTCGCGGCGAAGTCGGCGCGGGGTCGGATCGTTAGCTCCTCGCGCGGCGCCGCTTCCGATTTTGCCTCCGACGCGGTTGATCGTATTTACCTGGAGATTAAAGGGGGGGGGGGATACTCTCCCTCCCCCTGTCCTCCCAGTCCTGTCTGCACGTCCATCATCTCTAGTATCTTCGCCATCGCGACATTTGGAAGCGCGACAATTTTCTCGGGTGACCGAGCCACTTGTCGGAGAAACTCGTGCAGCTTTCCGAATGCGGTTCTCTTCACTTATTAATTTCTCTTAACTTCTTTAACTTACTATTGATTTTAATTTCTCTTAATTTCCTCTTGAAAATCAAATTTTCGCATTACACTTTCGTCGTGTTCATCGCGGCATGAAATGAGACGTCACGACGGGCAGCGTAGCGTTATGTTCGCCTCGAGATTCGCGCAGCCGATACAACGAGAAGAGCAAAGAGACAGCCGAATCGAGAAGCAAACCGCAGGGATGTGTCGCGGTGGTTTAAAGATGATGAAGGCAGGACCTTCCTCCACTATCGACCGCAGACAGTGTCGACACGGTTGCATAAACGCAATGGTCCATTACCAACGGTGTTTACGATTTCAATTACTGGTCGGATAATGAAAGAGCAAAAATACGATGGTGCATCTTAGAACGATGCCAAAAGCTTAATTTCAAAGTTATAGAATGATCCCCGCCAAAAGTGTGACGAAAAACATTGAAACATTCATCTCGTTTAAGAATTGAAAATTTCGCAAACGATGACTATTTTAACAGACACGTAAAAAACACGATCGCGCCACACCGTATAGACAAAAATATATTCTTTCACTAATCCCCCAAAAAATTCGCAAGAATTTCGCACGCTAATCATTTGATTTTCAAATCTGAAGAATATTATACAGATTTCCAAAACATTACTTTAAGCGCATTGTAGCGTAAGAGAATCCTATCTGTTTATCGACAAAGGAATAAATGAATAGTGAAGTTAAACGCGAAGGGTATTCAGTTCCTTCTCGAGTCGTAAAAAAGCCGTAGAAAAGAAAATTCGCGAGTGCCTATTTAACGTTTCCGCGCGACATAGTCATGAGCGCGTCAATGCCATCCGAAAAATTCAACCGCGAAAGCCTATACGCTAAGAGGAAGCCGCTACAGACTAACGCACGTGCAATATTGCGCCAGGTGTAGCCCGCACGTGATGGTAACGCTACTTAAAGCTCCCGGTACTAAAACCGCGTAATGTCGCTCGGAAACTCGCGCTCATCCTAAGCCGGCTACTCCCCTCGGACGGTGTGTAGAGCTTCGTCATCGTCCATCAACCGGTACGTGAATTCCCGACGCGTTGTCCACGAGAACACGCCAAAATGCGACGAGTAATTTAATAATAAATTCGGCTTTTATCGCCAGACTACGATATCAATTAAAAATCCTCGAGATGCAAATTTGCCTCTTCTCCTCCGCCTCCGAAACGCAAACGTGACCAAGGCCAGTTCGTGCGAAAGCGCTTCGCTACTTGCTAAATTCGCGTTACCACTGCGATCACGATGAGAGAAGAATCGTCTCGGCCGCTGAAAGGGCGCAGCTTCGTTCGCAGTTAAACCACGAGCGAAGACGCGTCCGAGCAGGTGCAAAAGATTCGAACTGACAGTTTTACCTCGGAAATAGAGCAGCAAAGAGGTTGCGCGCGCTAAGCTTGATGACTCAGGCTAGGTTCCATTCTGAGAAGAGCGAAACCTCGTGAAGCGGGGTTTCGCTCTCGTATAGAAATTAGTGATAATTATATAGGGCTAGCACCTGCACGCAGGTGCAAAAACCTGGGACGTTCGTTGCTGTCGTGGTGCTTGTGTCTCGCGCACCAGCAAGCCAGCCATGAGTCACTGTCGGAGCGAGAATCATCTTCCCGAACCGGATATCACGTCATACCGTGGCTCGCCGATGACAAGTCCAAGCGGAAGACGAGATATCGCGGTCATGTCGAAAGAATGCATCTCGACCAAAACTCGACGAAAATAAACAATTTTAAACCGTCTGAGCTGTTCGGATTTAGTTTCCTCTTCTGATATGATGTCATCGATATGCGCGACGCTCTTAAATTTTGCGCGATGTCGTCCGTGTAAATTCTTAATGATACCGTCAAGAGATTTTCGCGATTAATGCGTAACGTTTGACAAATTTAAGCGGGATACAGTAGTACTTGAGGGATTGGAAAGTTCGACTCACCCTTCAGCTGTGTGGTCTCAATTGCGAACATGTTGAGCGCCAGAAGCTGAAGCAAACGTGTGCCGGGAAGTGGTAGCGGCGAGTGCTGCAATAAAGCTCTAAATTCCTTCAGCATCTGGACACCAGCTTCTTGAAAAGTCTCCATTCTGAAAAAAATACGATTTCCTTATTGTAGTGAGAGAAGGAAGAATACAAATCTAATTTGTTTCACGTTTAAGTTACTACATCGATAGGAACGATCGAGATGTCGGTCTCTAGAAAGAGTCAACTGACGGAAAATCGAACGAGCTGTGAGAGTGAATAAATATAAATTATATATATATATATTTATATATATATATATATATATATATATATATATATATAGATCTCTCACTTTGCATATTTCAGTAAGTTCGAGGATGAGAGGACATCGACCTGTGAAATTCGCGACAGTGAGAACAGTAGGAGATATAATCGATGAGCGCATTAAGCAATCAGCCTGGATTAATAAAATTACACAATTTAAGTGGTAAGAGATTTAATCGAAAAACTCGACCCGAGCTGGCTTAATATCGTTTAGCACAATACACAAGGTGTGTTTCTCACGCTGGACACTTCTTAATCGGATATAAAATTGGCAGATATATTCCTGGACTATCTCGAAGTCTCGGAGCTTTTCTCGCTCGAAATATCGAGGCGTTAATAGCTCTTGAATAATTCTGAGAACGAGCGACCGAGAATAACGCGTGTATTTTACAAAATAGAGACTTAAAATATAACTCGGAGACATAAAAATATAACAGAACATCGTTCCTCATTTAATCTCGAGTTGATGAAACACACTTTATGAAAAAAAAAAAGAAAGACGTCGAAAAAAATAACGACACGCACATAGGGATGATTAATCGCACGGAGAGCGCTCGTCTCAACGTGGATATGCAGCGTAAGGGTCTCTCCGACTGATCGACCTCGAAATAATAGAGCTCGGATCGGTGTGTCGGTGAACAGTGCGACCCACGGTCGGTCGGCCGGCCGGCTCGGCTAATCTCGCATGGCCGAGGCCGATGATAAAGGAGGACGAAGGTTGGCCGTGGGGTCTTACTGCCGGCGGGGCATCCTCGTAAACACGGCGGTGAAACGGCACCGAGATCTTGCATAGCGGGCGCTATCTTTCCCACAGCCTCTTTCCGCGTGGCGCGCATCGCGTGTATGTAGTAATGTATATATATACGGCAGACAGTGGCAGATCCGCGTAACGTCTCACTCGATATCGCGCGACCCCACCCGCGCTGTTCGAACCCGGGGAATTCGTGACACGGCCTCCTTCCTTCCAACCCTTTCCAACCCCTCCCACGACAACGAGGAGAACGATTTTGTCGTCGTCGTCGTCGTCGTTGTAGCACGATGCTCGGCCATGCCGAGCAGCAATGACAGTGTCGGGAGATCAAGAGTGGAACCTGGCCCGAGAAGTAGCCGGGAGAACGTGCTACTTCTCTCGAGGGAGAAAGAGAGAGCGCAAAATCGTGCCGCTCCGACCTCTACCGCCGTACCGTTACGTACTCTCGATTAAACTCCGAAGAATGGCTAAGTAATCGCTTAACCCCGCTTCGGCTCCCGCGGCTCCTCCGCGTAATGAATCACCCGGATCGTGTCTCTCGATCTTGAAGAAGAGGCGAAATATCGAGCTCGACGTAGCTCCACGATAGCCCACCGATAGTTCCCCGATCGCGGGGAGCCGGCTCGATCGGAGACCGGCGTGCTTCTCCCAAGGGGGAGAGAAATGCCGAAGAGGCACCATTCCCATCGTCTACGCCGTGTGGTATCGCCACGAGCGATAAACGCGGCTGCTGAAATCGGACACCTTCCAGCGCGGCCAGCGGCGCGGATCAAGGTGCACTCACACGCTCGCTCACTCGCTCGCTCGTCTTACCGTTTGATCCTCGAAAAAGACCGTTAGCCGCCGACTCAAATCAAGCTGGTATGCTACCATCCTACATCGCGTAGTAGTATAATCGCCCGTGAGTATTTATCCGTGCCATTACGACAGTCGAAAGGCGATGCTGTCTCGGGCGAGAGAGTGAGACGTGACAACGTCAAGTGTTGCGCGGCTCCTCCGCGTTACGGGGAGATGTGCCACCTTCCGACGGAATGTGAGGAAAGGTGCGACTCCCTTTCCCATGAACGGTAAGCCGATGTGACTCGCTCGCGAGAGAGTGGGACGACCCCGTGTCCGGAATAATATTGTAATTACCGCGATATTGGGGGATAATCATCGCTGACGTAGCAACGAATCTGCGGGTCAAGTTCGCTGCATCGCTGCGCAATAATTGCGTTGGACTTCGACTGGGATTGTCTGATTCATTCACTCTGGATTTGCTCAGTCATCCATTGGGACTCCTTGAATCGAATGGACTCGTAAGGAAGCGATTATATCAGGAGAGAGAGAGAGAGAGAGAGGGAGAGAGAGAGAGATACGTTCAAGAATATCAATTTTTACGAAAATTTGGAATGCCGAAGCTTCTATCATTAAAATCAATGCCTGAATTTTCTCGAGCCAGAGTTGCTTTTAGACGACACTGCAATGTCTTCCAAGAATTTGAGGTCAATCAGTTTCGAGGTCTCGACCTGTTGATTACGGGAATAATTTTTTATATTATCTTGATAAGTTGAACGTGTAAATTTGATAATTACGACGCAGACGCACGTGGAGCTTTTCTTGCCTCAGGAGTCCGATGCGCGAAAAAAAGCTAATGTGCGATCGTTGCAACAATTTCCGCATAAATCTATTCCGAGGTAAAGAAGACGCTATCGTTTCGCACGTCGGCGCTACTGACACGGAGGTGAACGGACGCGAGTAACTGGCAATTTTCATATTACTCGAGCATAATCGTAAATCCGTATAGCGTTAATACCACTTAGCGAGATGCATTACGGTATCAGGCCGCTTGCAACTCCGTGATCATCGATTTCTTTATCTTGTTCGCGCTTTACTACTCTCACGACGGGACCGAACGACCTCGTTCGGGAATAACGCGCCGCAACCGAGAGTCGTACGATCGCGACCGATCGATCGTAGATAACGATATATGTTCCTATGTATAGAAGATCTCCGCGTTCGGGCCGCGAAAGTCCGAAGTAGCGACGGCGGCCGATTAACTTTACGGCCTTTTGATAGACGCTAAAAACACGATTATCGTATGCACGGACGAAGAGAGGAACTCACGCGGACTTATTGAGCCAACGTGCTTGGCCAACGCGACTGGCTAACGCGCGCGGGGAGAACCGAGAGGAGATCCGAGCGTTCGCTGTGCTTTCCCGTTCAACGCGATGCCGCTTATGCGGGGACGCGGCATTGAAATCACCGCGTCGCGCGACTAGAAACCCCGCAACAAGATTGACGAGATAACTTTCCCGATCTCGATTTCTCGCGGTGTTTGAGACAGACCGATACTTTTTGTCCGGCGAATTCTCAAAGAAAGGGATCGTGTCTCGAGAATCCTCTCGCAAGATGAATAAAAAAATTCTCGCAAAATTTTGGACGAAAACTTGGAACACGGACAGAAACGGGCTTTACAGAAAGGTTCACAAAAGAATGATTGCCTCGTTAATGAGATACAGAGTTGTATCGAATGTTATATCGTGAAAAGAAATCGAAAAAGCGGAAAGCAACAATCGTAGCTGGCGACTCAGGAAGAGAAGGAGGAGCGCTGGACTTAAAGGCTGGTCGTTGCGCGCGGAGAGTTGCGGTCAGTTAAGAAAATTTACTTTCTCTATCTATACCACGGCTATGAGACCACGATCTAAATCAGGCGAGCTAATCGCCGCGCTGGACTCGCTTAATAAACCAGATTCGCGGCGCGGTCGAGAACATCTCGGCGAGGAAACCTACGCGCGACAGCCCTACGCGCGAGACGACGGTCCCTACTTGCGAGCGAATGCACGTTGCTGTGCAACGTTGGCATTAAGGAGCCCCTCGGCAGCCCGGTTTGTCCCATCGGCATCGACGGACTCTATGACTAACAAGTTTGCACTTTAGCGCATAACGGGGCATTCCGCCGTGTTCCATAGATCATGGTCCATGACCCGCGGATTGCGTGGGCCGGCCACCATAATCATTCCTCGCCGATGCAACGACGCGGCGGCGGCGGTGTGGTACCACGAGCATTAAGTTTCCAACTTCTTCTTCTTCTTCTTCGTCTCTACCCTTCCCACCCCCAGCTCAATCTCAATCGCGCTATCTCCCGCATCGAGCTCACTCCTTTCACGATGCAATGCACGGTGATTTCGTTGATTCTGCGATCGGGAGATGTTCGCGCGTCTAATCCGTTCGGGCACCGGTCGTGTTGAATTCGGACGAGATGTTGCTTTTCACGTGTGATAATCCGACTTAATGTAAAATGTATTCCTTATTGATATGTGTGTTTGTGATATGAAACATAATTATACATAGATGTATAATTATATATAGATGTATCCTCTGACTGAAGATGTGCTTCTAAAGTCTCCTTTTGTTGCGAGGCGAATGTATTTCTGACGTGAATTATTTAGTGAAACAGATCCGCACGTGGATGTCGCCGCTGAAGAGATAGGTGCCGGCGTTCATCTCGTGCCGCGCGAGAAAACACGAGTCCGGACGAAATAGTGCGTAACTCCGTACACACGAGGCATCCGAGCGGTACAGGTTGCACCAACCGCGAAGATTAATTTAGCCGCGGCTATAAATACTCGTCGGATAGATAATAAATCGCCTCGCAAAATACGCGGCGAGGATAAATAGATACCTTCGGGGTAACGAAATTCCTTCGCTTTTTCATCGGCATTCGCGATTATAAATAATTAATCGCGGCCCGGCGCGACACAGCGCGGAGCTCACGAAGGCGCGATCGCGTATCCAGATCTCTGATCGTCGCCCGTAATAGAAATGTAATCCGACCTGGCTTTTATCTAGATTACAGAATCTAAATGACTCAATCGCCGCGCGCCGATGCACCGTCGCGTACGGAAAATGATTAAAGCCAATACGTCGTAATCATTGTCATTAGTATAATTATCATTATTTATTGGCGCGGGCAATAATATCGGTCGGTCAAAGTCGCCCGTATGTATTCCCTCGCGAACGAGATATCGATGTGTCGCGCATTCACTTCGGGAATCAATTATAGTAATGATACGGCGCGCAAATTGACACCGCCGGGCGACGCGCCGGGCAACGATCTCGCTCCGATTAAGCATCATCCGAAGGAAATGCACGGCGACATAAATTGTAGGCTACAAGCGCGACACGATGTAAGTGTCAAGAACGCTTTTTTGTTTCGTATCTGCGTGCTTTCCGTTTCTCTTATACCTATTTAGTAACACACAAGCAGGATTCGCCGCGGCTCATTGCCAGCTCGCTGCGTCATTCATTTTCTACGTCATTCCGCTGTCTTGGTAATCGGAAAAAATCAAGAGAAACGATATCGACCGTGTTTGGAAGGCACGAACCTCTACTGCAGGAGCAGCGTAGGACATTCCGCGTATCTTCTAATAACATATTTTTCACGACTATAATTTTCCCCATTTTTTTCGTTTTGCTCCCTTAAAATTTAGCTTCTTCACAGAAATGATGATTACCATCGCGTATTTCATTGGAAAGGATGCGACTTGCACTACGCATTTTTACCTCTCCCGACGGTCCTTCTCACGTCGAATCCTCAATCTCACCGAAGATTTTAACGTCGTTTTATCCTTCGCTGCTGCGGCTCGACTCGCGATGACTCCGGCACGATCGAAGTCGCCGCGGAGGAGCTCTACCCGACGAAACGTATCGTAATCTGATCGTCCTTGCCAGTAATGTAAAGACACATAACCGGCGCGTAATGAGCCATTAGCCCGGGAGTGTCGATGACAGGGTCCGATAGGTCGGCGGCTATAGCCGCTATCTTGGTGAGCCGAATGCGCCGCGGACGACACTGTAACGCGTGTTCCCCGGCGCCTTAACGCCCTGAATGAACATCGTTTAATCATCGATTACCGCGGATTCTACTCTCCCCGCGCGAGTTCGCGGAATGTATCGTAAAATGAGCAAATGGGAATCCGCGGGATACGCGCGCCGCAAACACATTAGCCGTAAAGTGCGCGATGCGAGAGGAACAACTGATATCTGAGTTTTCGTCACGTACAGCAATAAATTGTGCGAGACGTAAAAATTCCCGTTGGCCGTCGAAATTCTCGTTGGCTCGATGTCACTGAACGAGTAATAAGAGTTGCAGAAGCAAATTTCATAAATCTCAATTAAATTCGTATGAAACCCAGACCTAATCTTGGACCAGTCGTCCTGGTTGGCGGTAATCGCACGATCAACTTCTCCAAGGATAGAAAGAAACCTACTTCTCCTGGAATAATTCCTTATCCCCGCGTGTAACGAGAGTGCGAAGCCAATGGACCGGTCGAATCCGGTGGACAAGGCGGAAATCCGATCGTCCGGAGACTCGAGAGGAAGGCGAACCTCTATCGGGACCAAATCGACGAGCGGAAGGAATCCAGATGGTCTCGCGATGGGCGCGCGATGCGTACGTGCGGTCCGTCGTAGTGTACGCCGAAGAGATAGCCGGGTAGTCGGGTTCTGGTCCGAGGCTGCGGTATCCGACGAGGGTGCCCTTGAAGCAGGCGGGGTCGTCACTCGAGGGCCGCGGGTAAACGACCATCGGAAATCCATGTGTGTTACCAGCCGGGGCCAGCCTTATAGCGTAGCTTACTTACTCGCACTACTTAAGTTTCTGGGTGTGTATGCGCGTCTCGCGTTGCTCCTTCTCTCTCTCTCTCTCTCTCTCTCTCTCTCTCTCTCTCTCTCTCTCTCTCTCTCTCTCTCTCTCTCTCTCTCTCTCTCTCTCTCTCTCTCTCTCTCTCTCTCTCTCTCTCTCTCTCTCTCTCTCTCTCTCTCTCTCTCTCTCTCTCTCTCTCTCTCTCTCTCTCTCTCTCTCTCTCTCTCTCTCTCTCTCTCTCTCTCTCTCTCTCTCTCTCTCTCTCTCTCTCTCTCTCTCTCTCTCTCTCTCTCTCTCTCTCTCTCTCTCTCTCTCTCTCTCTCTCTCTCTCTCTCTCTCTCTCTCTCTCTCTCTCTTTCTCTCTTTCTCTATCTTCGCTATCCTGCTGTCTCCCTCCACCTCAGGAGGCACACTGTGGTCTGAGAGAGAGAGAGAGAGAGAGAGAGAGCCTACCTTGCCCATCTACCACTACCGATGGAAGCGCCGGCGACCACTTCTCTTGCCTTACGAGTGTTATGAAACGATTTCTGCCTTCTTCCTTCACGCTGCCAATTTATAGGTTTAATTACCGCTTCGTGGCGCGACGCTCCCGCTCTCGCGCGATCCTCGTTGGCGAATAGCACGACGGAAAAATCCGCAGCGGGACCGTACGGCGACAGCGTTAAAAGCGATTTAATCTGTCGGACTACTATATTAATCGACGATAAGCGATTCGTCCGCGTGTAGATATCAGCCGCGATCATCGACCATCAACGACGTGCTGCACACGGCATCGGCATGCCGGCGTGATCGAAACGAACGTTCAACCCTCGTGTTTGCGTATCGCAAATGGAAAAAGTGCGTTTATGATCGGAGATTTTATGCAAAGTTAAAATATCATGCAAAAGTAACGAGTATTTTTCCATATGCTAATTAGTTATCAAGAAGATAAACAATATCTTCTGACCTTCTTTTTATGTTTCAGTATTTTAAGTGCTCAATTTTGTGAAAAAAAAAGAAATGAATTACGCGTGTGTGTAAAATACACGTAGTCTGTTCGTTGATTTCGTCTATGACGACGTAAAAATATCCACGAAAATATGAAAGCTTCCTTCTTATGCAGAAGGAATTTCGGCGAGGATCGATGGTGGACGTGAAAAGCGCGATATCGCGTGCGGAGAGGAAATAGCCCGAGATGGGTCCGCGTTGCACGAGGGCAACCTTGAGCATAACTCGGTAGGGCCGGACTCCGGTGTGCTCCGACCGGTAATGAGCCAAATCCATTACAGCAGCAGCCGCGACGCAACGAGCCAGCAACACCGTAAGCCGACCATACCACGCGTCCGACTCTGCACGGTCTCCCATCTTTTTCCCCTTGCCTCTCCATGGCCAGCCGTGCGCGATCTATACGTGTACCTATGCCACGCACGTACCGTGTCGTTAACAAGCAGCTAACCAATGGCACCGGTTCGGTACCAATTCCAATTATAGACCGCGAGTACATTCTACGTAGGTCTAGTAGTGTACAGAGCACCGGGGGAGAAGCGCCTTCTTTTTCTCCTTCTCCTATTGTTTCTTCTTTTTTTTCCTCTTTCTTTCCCCGTCCTATGCGTCCCTCGTCGTCCTCACCATCCTTCCGCTTTTTTCATCGATCGCCGATCGCGGAACTAATTACGTTACCGTCACCGAATAAATTGGAAGCTCACGAACGTCGCGCTACGCGCGCTCGGAAAATTCGAGTCCGTCGGCCGGTCCGTTGAGAATTATCGTCGATACGGAATACCAAAGGGTGCGATACCCACCACGATAATCGCGCGAGGTATCTCGCAAGGGTACTCACAAGGTCACAACACGCGACGGGGACAACATCGCCGCCGCCGCCGTCGTTGCGGTCGAGACGCGACGGAGCGCGAGACGGTGGTCGGGTGGCGCCACGCAATTGTCAATTAACATTTTTACCGCCGTATAAGAAAACATGAAGCTACACGCGGCCACGTACATACGTGACCACTGGCGGCCGGTCCACGCCAGGTTGGACAGGGTTCCAAGAGATCGCGGGAGCGTTCAACGTTGCGGAGATAGAGACGACGACGACGATTGCTGGTGCTCTTTCGGTAGTGCGAGGGAATGAACAAATGGTTGCATTTATTCATATTACTAAACGGTCATGTCAAACTCGTTGCAGCGAGTTTTTCTAAGGTATCATACTCCTACGTTTGCGAATTGTATCCTCGTATTACTTGTATTCCGAAAAATATAAGAGAATTCGCGAGAAATTTTCGAAAAATTCGCGAAAAAATACGTGTCAAATATTCATACGCGCTGTCTGGATACACGAAGCACCGAGATACTTAACAAGGTAGCTCGATTTTCGCTCGTGAGAACCGACGGCTTTTCTACTTCAGCTGTGTTAGCGGGAAACGCGATTAGTACTACCATTAACGTGCATACCACTTGTTTAATTTTTCTCCATGGAACTATTTATTCGAATAGCACTGAACGACCGGAGGCTTTACGATGCAATATTTTCAGATTAGCCGGACTGGATTAAATTCCATGAGGCTCTAACGGCGCGAATAATATTCCGTTTGGGAAGGATCGCCGATAGATATACGTATAATTTGCGACATTAGGATTTCATAAACTTGGGACGCAGCCACCGATTTCCACGGTGGCGGTGGCGATAGCAGCTTTTGCAAATTGAGAGGTCATAATTACGAAATTATATAATACGTAAATGATTTCGCGAGAACGCGGACTGATTGAGAGGAGGAGGATGCAAATGTGTGTTATTCCAGCGATGGGAAAGTACGCGTTTCGCGCCGGCTTTAATCCGCATTTAACGAATAAGAGCGGGATACAAATGACGATTTGTTCTGCTCGACAGAATGTGTAGTGAACGTAAACGGCGGCAGTTCGTCACACAACATGCCCGAAGTACAGGATGAACGAGACAGCATATATAGTACAGCATTTACGAGATGCAAATATCGGGAAGTCGGACAGTCAGTCAACCGCAACATCGGCTGAGCCAGCTGGCTCGATAGCCGAGCTTAAACGAGCTTGCGGGCGATCAACAAAAAAATTATATATATATATATATATATATATATATATATATATATATATATATATATATATATATA